ACTAGATAAGGATTAGCCTGGCGGCTTGTGCTATGCCTTTTATCTTCCAAGGCACGGGTTGAAAAAAGATCCATACCCTTTGGATGAACCCAGTTCTTTGCAAGGAGTTGTAAGAACGTCAAAAAAACTGTGTCCAACTGTACCTTTTAGCCTTAAGCTTGGGAATTCTGTACAGGAGTACTACAGCTCATTACATTGAGTAATTTATTTGCTTAGTGGCTGCCCAAGGGGAAGTAAAAAGTTTTAACATCCAGAAAATTCTGTAAGTAGCCCATTTACAAAGCTGAGCTGTCCCCCGTAGCAGTGAAACACCATCCCCCTCAAATAGGCTTCCACAATTAAACCAGGCCAAGAATGTTTTCCTCCCCAGCATCAAGTATGCCCATCCTGAACAATTACACACCTAATTGAGTCCCACGATTTAAAAAAGAAGCGTGAGTGCGGATTGGAAAAAGTCATTTTAATGATAGTGTGAAATGGGGGTACGGTTTTAGTCTTTTCAGACAATATTCTATCATTCACCTCATGTTAAGCTTCTCAATGGAAGCAGGTCAAGTCTTTCTGGAGTGAAAACAGTGTGAGGGTGTTGGTTTTTTTATCAATTTCTTTCTAGCTTCCGCATTTTAAAAAGTGAATGTCATGGCCAACATGTCTGAACGAAATGTTATTCAAATGGATTCTTCCCCAAAGTGCAGGAACACACAGGTAGCGGAGTGAAAATAAAACAAAGCAGAATCCTGTGGTCAGTGAAAGGGGAGAACTTCACTTTTACACCGACCGGGCTTCGGAGGCATGTGTTCAATTTCAAACTCCAAACCACTCAGAAACCTCCCGGGGAGGCCGATGACAGAGAACTATGCTACACCGGTCCAACTTTTGAGTTGACACTAGCCTGTGGATTTCTAAACATTGCAGAATTAAATTCCAAAATAAAATAAAATACAAATATAAGCTGCTTGAATTGGTTGTTGACTTTGCTCAAACATGGCCGAGGCCCCCGTGGCTTCGTGAAGCCTGTCTGGAGAAAAATCTCATCTTTGGGATTTCACTAAGGTTAACTGAGATGTTGGCCTTGAATCCAAGGATATTCTCAGTTTGTTGGTTCTTCTTATTTGCTCTCTGGCAATTAGTTGTTTAATTTAACTCAAGTCTTTCTCTTTTCCTTTGAGGAACAACAGGGTGTGCTCTCTCGATCTAAATTATTTTGATGGCCAGTAATTAAATGGACAGAAATTCATCTTAATGAACACTGCGAAGGGGCCTATGATGAGAACACAGAGATATACAGTGCAAATGAACTCAGTCTCAGACAGACAATCTAGCAGATGAACAGCTGCCGGAATTTGTTTGCATGACCCATTTCCCTAACTCCTTTTTTAGAGGGGATTTTCCTGTTATTCCTCAAAAGTCAAGGAATCACGCTTTTACTACTTTTTATTATTGCATAATGCATTGGGATGAGCCATCGGAAAATTTTTAACCTCATGCTGACAGCCAATTAATCCTTCATTTAAAGTCAAAACAAGAGCAAGGCCTGTGTGATGAAGTTCATTGTGGTTTATTCATTATTCTACAGATTTTTTTAGTTTTGTTTTAGCTCAAAGTAATAGATATTGTCTCTGGATCATGTGTAACATGTTGACGGTGTGCAACGCTGATAAGAGGAGAGGATGAGAGAAAAAACCGCTGCTCTTTCCGTGTGCCTGTTAATATCCCCGCCACTATCACCCAACCCCCACTTCCTTGTGCCTTTTCCTTTCTAATATCTTCCCTCCCATCTCCTGGCCATACCAGTGAAGCCATTTAATCTTTAATCACCTGTACTTTAGCAGGAGAGACATCTTTGTCTGTGGGTACCATGGCTTATTTTAGAACATGCTTTAATTCCGGAGCATCTCCTTTATCTGAGGTTGCAGTCAGATTATACTGATATACAGGATGCTGCCATTAAAGTTAATTTATGGGAAAAACTTTGGGGGAAAAACTGACCCGGAAAGAAAAACATAAATAACATCTTTATTTTCACCTTATATTAACCTTATAAATAACATATTTTTTTATTGTAATATTTCAACACAGTATCAATGCTCATGCTACATATTAAACTGTAGGCTATTGAATTACATGGATACATTTTTCCAGAATACACAGGGCATTTAACTGTGTGGGGTTTCTCTCTATCCTCACTCTTACTCTCTAATGTGGGTCAAAAGCACACAAGATAAGAGACCATAATTTTTTTTTCTCAGTGTTGACCGAGTTCTTTAAAAAAAACAAGGTCACTGATCCTCTGAGGGATTCCTGTCTATAATAGTGCACTTGATTGTTTTTTTTATCTTTTATTCAGGCAGATGCTGGATTCATCAGTCTCCCTTAGCCGAAAAGGCGGCGCGATTCCGCTAACAGGACGTGAGTCTGGGACATCTGAGAGCACATGGCGATGTTTAGACAAAAACCCCAGCCTCGTCTCTGGTGACAAAAGCGAGGCCCGTTTATAAGAATCTGTTTACAGCACGGCTTTTATTGCCAGGACAGCCTGTCTGAGGTGAGTTTATCATGGAGAGAACCATAAGTTCTCAGAGTTGTCACCGTGCTATGCTTTCACGGAGAAACACCAGAGAAGTGCCTGCAGTGTCTCGGGTTCGGGCCGAGACATTTCTAGGTGTTACGAGAGAGAAGCAGGCCTACAGGAAGAGTACACACACGACGAGATGACCAATTATGTGAAAGGAGGTACCGGGATTATGAGAGGTCAAACTGTCAGAATTTGAGATGCAAAAGATGGTGTGGGATAAAGAGGGGTGTGACAGAGGGGCATGTGGAGCAGAGCCCGACATGTGCAAAAACATGTGGAAAACGTTTACAGGCTTAAAGGCCGTGATCTCCCAGTTCAGGGAGATTCGAATGCATCGTAGGTCACATTATCACTTCAACGGATGATAAATGTGCTGTGGAAATAACAATAATAGTACTTATGTGCATGAGTATCATCTGTGCACTTACTATACAGTCGGGCTGAAATGCCTGTGATGTCACATGAACTCAATAAATATTCAAGTGTCCACATTGACAGAATATTCCTGCATCTGCTTATGCAGACTACTTTTATTTTCACTTTTTATTCACAGTGTCTCGGGCTTTTGTTGCTGATGCAAACATTCAAATGGTGATTACAGAGATAACAAGATTTCTAAGTTTGCTTTTATATAAATATCACCAGGGTACGTGCCAGTTTATGCAACGTCTATCGAAAGACGCGGGTTGTATTTTAAAATAGTTAAAAAGTTCTGCTTTTTTATCATGAACTGTGTGAAATCTTTATCTTAAAAGCAACAGCAGCTGACCACATAAGAATTTTAAAATAGCAGTACCTACATAATGCGCTCATGTACCCTGAGTAAATGCAGCTGGTTAGATTCCATCACTGTTCATATCTGTTTTTCTTGGTCTCCCTTTGTCTTGGAGCAGATAGAGAAACAGAAACCTGGTCAACAGGCAGCGAAAAAAAAAAAAATCCCATCACAGTGGGGAAGATGGAATAAAGGCTCCCAAATTCTCCCTCAGGCTTCTGCGAACAGTGACATGTCTCATAGCTTGCCCGTTTACCTCATGCTGTTACAAAATCCTCCAAATCCTACAACTGCATGCAGACCAAAGAGGCCGCTTGGATGAAACGCACATCGCAAGCCCTGCACTGGATCTAAATGAAAAGATTAGTAATGGAAATCAGAGGATGTCGCCTGTGATGCAGATATTAAGTCATGTTGGCTGGGAAGCTCTTTAGAAGGAAAATGTAGTGGTAATGAACATCTGCTCAGGCACTAATTTGTATTCCTTATGCTTAACTAACGGCTCCAAACAGCAGTCGGAGCAGCCATCAATCAACGAGAGTAAGTGTGGCTTTTACTTTAACATAATATTGTAAGTATGCCTACTGTGTATGCGGAGTGTTTACACTTATTTTTTTTTCCCCCATTCTCACTCGCCCGCTCGTAGTGTTAATGCCGACCAATCCGAGCCTTCGTTCTTCGTTTGCACAATACACAATGCAGCAGAAAAGCCTTGGGGGTGCGTGTGTTTGTTTTGCTTCGCTTTGTGTCTTGTTCCAGCACAGAGGACAGTCATCCAGTCGTCGGTGGGGCTGTTTCCCTCTTGCACTGTTAGTCAATTAGAGCTGCCATTAAAGACAGCAGTAGCGGGGGAAATAAAGGCAGCGGCGTGGATTTGTCTGTGCCACGCTGATTTCCATCCTTAAACCCTCTCCAGACGAAGAGACTGCAATAATTGGGATTCTGACAGTGGGTTGGGGGGGGGGGGGGGGGGCTCATTTCCCGCTCTCGCTCCCTCCCCTCCACTTCCATGCAATCATGTCTATCCAATCATGTCTGCCTGGCACCTTTTGCTCTCGATCCCCCGAACTCTCTTTATCTACCGCCACATTTGGCTGAAGAATTACCGAAGCTATTCCTCCTTAATCTAATTGCTCTGGTGCCACAACAGGAACCTTGCTTCCAAGTACTTACTGCCACTGATGCATACCTCACCACGACACTGTCACTAGAGGCCCTTATGTTGTTCCATTTACTCGACACTTTGACCTAAAAGTGCTCATCATTCATGTCATTTACCGACTACTGGGGAGCCTTTTGTCCACATTTGGATGAATTTGCTCTGTCCACTTTGTGGCACGTCTAAAACATTAGCTGCTGATGTGTGTGTGTAAGGCAGAATTTTAGAAATGCTCAGATAAAATGTTGCTAAAACACTGCATTTTTCCTCGGATATACCAGTTACCATCCCTTAAAAATCACATCGTTATTCACACACTTCAAGCCGTTTTTTTTGTCAACAGGGTCACGGTGTGCAACTTTATCGCTTTCTCTCCCTTCAAATGTGGGCCAGAAGGCCACGCAAACTATGCCGCTTGCTCCGCGATTCTTTTCATTTTCCCCACAGCCGATATCATTAAAAACACGACCACAAAATGAATCAAGTTGTTGTTATCGCTCTGGCAGATTGTCTCCGTCCGAACTTTCACTGCTCAATAACATGCCACGCTCCCACAGTCGAGACCCTTGAACCCACAATAGCATGGGGGTTAGATGATCAGATTACATTGAAAGACACACATGGGCATTGTTAAGGGAGTTTGCAATTTCACCCATGGACATGTCTCTCATTGTGCCTCGCTGGAGAGAGAATGCTTTTCATTCTGAAGTGAACAGCACTGGCAAACAGGACCTCATGTGTCTCTGCGGTGCACCATCTCCTCAAGGCTCTGAGGGGAAATCAGATCTCCCTTTTCAGGACGGTCTCCGCTGAAAGGCCCTCATATGGTTCCTTCCCTCACAGCACTTCTTAAAGAGGAAACTTAATCTCACTTGTAAGACAATTGCAGCCGAAAAAGACCTCGGCAATTGGATGTGAGCACCCCCTTCTGCCGTCAATATTTTGACAGAATTCGCGACAGCATAATTATTTGTCGGGATTCCTGCCAAGGGGGTTTAATTGTTACATGCGTAATTACACGTTCAGTGGAGGAAATGTTAGAACAGAGAATTGGCTGTATTGTTATTATTACAGTTGAAATAGTGTCTTTCATCTTGGCTGCTCTATGATGTCTGTGTGGTACCATAATCCAGCCATGAAAGAGGATATCTTTCAAAGCCTTTGATGGCACTTCTCACAAATCAATTCATTACCCCGTTATATCAGCAGGCAAAAAGCACATCTTTCACAGATCAATTCATTATCCCAACTCTAACAGCTGAAAGACGGTGGTTGACCGCAGAGCCAAGAAATGATATCAGCTTTCAGTGTTGGGGATGATGAAAAAAAAAAAAGAAAAAGGTAGCAGCCTTGAAAGACCTATCAAAAGCAGGGGGAACTCTGAATAAATCATGTTCAAACTTGAACTGTTTTATTTTCTTTCTTGGTAAAACTCACACTTAGCAATTGTCTTTGTAGCTTATGGAGGTGTGAAGAGTCATAAAAATCCATTATTATGCATGGTACTGCTGAATTCCTCAGATGCTCTTACAGATAATGCATTCCTCTCATAAAGCTTTAATATGTAGCCACTGTGTCACGTGATCAAGGAAGGCTGTGGAATGCAAGAAATGGCCATATAGTATGTATCTGAGTTTGTTGGAATCAATTTTCTGACCCACAACCATCATTACTGCACAGGTGCAGATGAAGGAGTGGGCCAGTGTACAGTAAGAAAATAAATATTTGAGTGATAAGGAGTAGATTACCAAATGCTTTTTTTTTTTTTTTTTTTGCAGATATGTTTCATGACCAGCTGTGAGGATATAAAGAGGATCAAAATGCTTTCCCCATGAGAACACCGTATAATTTCATAATGCCATTCAGCTAAAAGAAATACCATGACAGAGGGCACCTGTGAGAAACTGCAAATCCACCACATGCAGTGAATTATATGTAGGTCAGAAAACAGATTTGTGTAATTATGCGAGGACATGAGCAGATCGCTGCTCCGGAGTAGACGTCTTCGCATGCCTCGTGGTTGGCCCGTATTCCTTAAGGTGGAGCTCGAGTCTGCACTCATTAGCAGTCGCTGAACAGGCCCGGCGGTGTTTTTTTTGCGAGGCAGCACCCATCACGGTTTCCCCTCCCAACACACAGACACCGGAGGATGGGCCGTAATTACAGGCACACACATACTGCAGCATCAAACCGATCTGAACGGCGGGGGGGGGTGGTTTCTGGTGCTGGACTGGATCAGCAGGGTTCCATTCTGCAGGCGACATGCTGTCAGGACTGCGTGAAGTGATGAGGGCCTTTAATCACGTTGACCAAATAGCGCCTATCACAGCGTAGCTTGGTACAGGTAGATGTTGGGTACATTAATTCTTTGAAAGGCCTGATCAATTCGCCAGTGAACGATCTTCCCATTAAGTAAATGCTAGCAATTTTGAAAAAAGAAATTACCTTCATTGTCTGTATGAATGGAAGGAGGCATTCTAACAACAGATGATTAAAGAGGGAATTTAGAAAATCAAAGGTTGGAGTTTGGATTTTTTTTCTGTTGTTCGATGTGCATTTCTGATGAATAGCCAAAAGTATTTTAAATCTATCATTTTGAGAGAGGAAATTGCTCTTCCCACACTTTGATTGTACAGTGAGTGTGTTTCTCTTCGTCCAGATAAAGAGGTTTATTTTTTCTTCAAGTTCAACAGTGTACGGTTCTGTATGCGCAGCCATTTGGGGGAGTTCAAGTAATAAAACGTCATGATTCATTCATTGTAGCTCAGAAGAACTTAACCAAACATGTCCTGGAGTCAGCTTCCAAAGACAACATTGCTTTTCCCTATCAAACCATGGTAGGAATGCAACATTTCACAGTTTGTTTATATTGAAAAAAAGCAAGGATGTGGGATTGTACCCTTTCTTCTTCAAATATGATGATTTGAATAATCTTTACAAAAAATACCCCACATCTTTTTTAGATGAACGACCTCACAGTATAACTGAACAAGACTGAAAGGATTCTCAGCTCTCTCTTTAAGAGGAATGTGTGTGGACCGGGACCCTTTTGTGGATGGATTACGCTCTTATGAGAGCAGAGCAGACTAACTCATTAGGCTCACAGCGTACTCGGATATATGATGTATACATAATGAGGGTACAACATACCTCGGCAAACCGTTCCATTTTCCACAGCCTCGTGCCCGGCTTTGCACATACACCGCCCGATTGGCACCATCCACTCCCCATCTCCATTGCAGTACAGCTTAATGGGCACATCCACTTCCTCTGCATTCGGGATACAAACACCCCTTGCAGCCACCAGCGAGGTGCTCTCTGCACCTGACAGTGTCTCGTGGAACAACGCCCCATTGGTGATGATTCGAGGACACTTCCTGTAGAAGACCCGGACAGCGATGAGGGACATGCAGCCACCGTAGTCCTGAAAGGCCAAGTAGAAGCCGTTCCGGGACACAGGCCCAAAGCTTCGGACCTCCGTGTTTATCTTCATCACTCTGCCCCCCAGGTCCACCTGGGAGAAGCTCTCGTCCGCTGCAATGGTGTCAACCTTGATCCAAGGGTTCTCCATCCAAGCGGGAGAGTTTCTGGTGGCCGTGTCTGAATCGGACTCGTAGTAATACAGGTTAAAAGTCTCTTTGCAGGATCCGGGAACGTTGGGGATGCTGCTGCAGTCTCTCACGGAGAATTTCATCTCCACGTGGATCCGCTGCGCCCCGCGACGTCGGATGTATTTCGTCCGTACCCAGTTGTTCTGATTGCTGTCAAACACGTTGCAGACTTGGTAGGTCCTGATGGTGTTCATGTTTTCGTCATAACCGCTCACCTCCTCCCACTGTTGATCAAGGAAATATAAAAAATAAAAAAAACAGCTTATTAACATTTTTTCCGTGTTGGTAATTCAAGAAGTAAGAAGAAGGATTTTTTCTCTCACAGTCTTTATGTAAGAAAATAGTAACAAGGTAATTGAGACCCATAACTATCTCAGTTCATTGAATTAAATGTGATTCAGCTGTAAAATGGCAAATAGACAGCATGTTTCTTATTAACGTAAACTATCTTAACGTTCCACGGATACTTATTTCCAACAATAACAAGTATGTCTTCATGGGCACTTTTGTAATGACTTTGATTACTGGAAATAATCAGCTTGAGGCAATATTTTGATTAAGGTGATTACATGGTGAGACGAAACATAATATCTCTAATCGCTCACTTTGAAAGGATGCATTAAGTTCGTCTAAAGGAACAAATGAAAAGTAGCTTTTCCACTGTGGTATATCATCTCTCAAGGTAGTACTCATATTAACAATAGTAAGCACAAATGTGCTTAGTTCAACATTACCGAACTTCACTAATACAAATCAGAGAGAGGTATTTTCAAGGTAATTGTGGTCAGGTTTTCTATTCATTAAGAAACTCAATCATGGGTACTATTTATGATCCTTACACCTTTAAATGTTTTCTATTTGAGTCAATGGCTTTTGAAAATGCTGTCTTGGTGCTACTAAATGATACATGCAGCATTTATTAGGAGAAGTGATTTATATAGTATGTCGTTGATGTTTATGAAGGCAAATACTATGTGAACTTTCTTTCTCACTGAATGGAACGAGAAGGCCAGGACTGTTTCTTCAAAAGAACCTTTAAACGTGATAGAATGGCTCAGTTTCATGTGATGTGGTCCCTTTTTTTTTATTGTTTCTAAATAGAATACATGCATAGTGCCGCATTTCCATTGCTGTGCACTGAATGTAATGTGAGCTCGAACAATAAAGTTACTCTAAACTGATGCAAGCCTCATATGCAGGTAATCAAATAAACAGCAATTAAATGGCAAGTTACACTTCATATTCACCGGCCCACATATTGCACACCAATTTGAGTACGCTCTGTGACTTCACAGAGTCCAAATGAAACCTCTGTGGTTTGCCTGGCCCTTGGCTACGGATCAAACCGGCTTTAAACACCGTGCACTCAAACCGCCATGAGGGTCACGACCTCGACCTCAACATCTCAGCCAAGAAAAAGTCCTGTTCTCACCCCTCCGAACAACTTTACATCTGGTGCGCCATATAATGCCTCCCCCCTTCACTCTTCACTTCACAGCTGATATAATTTCTCAAATTAGTACCCACTTAGTGAAGATTTTGACAGATTTTGACGGGTCGGGGGAGAAAAAAGTCACCCCCTCTTGTAACAATGTGCATTCTGTCGAACACTTTGACTAATTAGAACAGCTTTAGTTCTTAAAGCCCCTGTCCCAATTAATCACGGCTAGTGTGTTGCTTGCTTTGACCCAAACCATCAAACACGAGCCAAGGAAAAAAAAAAAATACGTTGGATTAATTTAAAAGGTCTTTCTTTCAACAGTGGCTAAAGAGAAAGAGCAGGCTGTACGAATACACTTATTACATACAAATAATGTGTGAAAGGTGAAATCCATGAGTAATTTACCTTTGACGAGAGACTGGAACTAGATCATTTACCCTAATGGTTGCTCGAATAAACAAACATTTCTCAAACTTTCAGAGATAAGTTTGGTGAAGTTCCAGGGAAAGTCTTTCACTGCCCACCGCTGACAGACATCACCATCACCAGGTCGTGAGCAGCCACTGACCTTCCCACTTGTTGGGGATCTGTGGGGAGGCTGTGGGCCAATTAAACAAGAGTGGACAGCCTGCTCTGGTGAGTGCACAGCGCTGGACAATCGCGGTTTTAATAAAATGAATGCGGAGACAGGTGGGGGTTGGCACTAATGAGGGACGCAGACAGGAAAGTTCAGGAAAAAGTGTTGGCTGTGCTGTGGAGCGGTGGTGGGGGGGGGGGTTGGGGCTGAAAAAAAAAAAAAAAAGACCCCAAACAAAACGTGTTTTGATGAAGGGCCTCTTTTTGTCCTGTCATGGCCCCTTTGCCCTCCTTTCATCACAGCCAGTGGAGGGAAGCAAATGGGGCATAATAAGAGCCTAACGATCAAGCACGGAGTGTGAAATTAGATGAAACGTCTTCATTTTCACAGCTTTTTTCCCCCGGCCCCTTATCGCGGCGGCTCTGAAAGGATGGTCAAGTGTTTTAAGCACAACAGGTAGAGGTAACACTGGCGGTGGATGTCAAGTTAAATTAGCTGCAGGAAATGAACTTCCCTCATATGATGTGGATACAAAATAACCAGCTTATTATACTGAAATCCTGTTCCGCTTAATAGCACATTTTTTTCTACTTCTGATCATGTGGTCCCCAGTCACAGGCATTGTTAAAAGATCATCCAACACCAACATGAATCATCGGATGATCCTTAAAACAGAACAAATGTTGTCAGAAAGCATATTTCAGGGTGGTCAACACATAAATGAGAATTCAGAGTGGACATGTTTGTTCCCAATGAGGAACTCACTCTTTTGATAACAAACCAATGGTGTGAAACAGAATGCACGAATGCTTCCAGACAAGAGCACACTGTTTTATGTTTTAATTACTCTCATTGGGGTCACAGATCTAACAATTATGGGCTCAGTGGTAGAAAACTATCATCAATGTTGACTCACTGAATGTTCCATATCTCTTATCTATTATTCCACAGAGGCTCAAATATTCACCAAGAGTCACGTGCGTGTAAGATTCTGCCAACCTAAAAACATTTCGCTGTAGATAGAGATACATCGGAGTCAGTAAAAAATATAATGCGACATCTATGGTCTAAATGCCTCGCATATATCAAAATAAGGCGCCTTTCCTGCGTATTGTTTTCAGGCCATCTGTGTCTTTGTTAGCAAAACCTTTCATGCATCTTCAAGCTAATCTTCTAACGAGAGAAACTATCTCGATCAGGGCAGTACTGAGAGACAATTACCAGGCGCCGAAAAACAGTCTAAAGGCAATATTGATTATGATGGCTGGGGTATAACAAAAGAGGGAGAGGCTACAATACTGTATGGAAGCTGCTACTCCCCTACTAGAGTTCCGTGGTGCTAACTATGAGTAAGGTTGAGAATCAATATCACTTGTTCCACTCCAGGAGAAAGTTCAACTGACCTGCAATCCATACGTGTCAATGACAATAGGTCTCTGTTTTATCTGTAAAGCCAAGTGCATAGCCCTGACAAGGCTGAATTATAGGCTGGATTTGCGCCTTTGGCTGAGTCAATTCACCAAAGACAGCTCCTTTTCTTCATTAACAAGATGAAACAATACGGAAAACTCCAGGTCCCATAAGTCCTCAGACTTCATTGTTGTAACTAAGTGTCATGAAACAGATACTTAATCTCAGTGATTATTTTACTGTTGTCCATTGAGCAAAAAGAGAATGGTTCAGAGTAGTGCTCCAGGACCTGATTCACTCTCATGTATCAATGGTATACTTAAATGAGATTTACTTGACTCAAAAGTACTCAAAAGCAAAACAATCTGAAATAACCAAGCCAAATGCTGAAAATCTCAAAAACCCTCATATTTACGCTCCAGGACAGTAACTGTTGGAAAATCCATGGCTGTAGAGAGCTGCTGTAGTATATGCACATGGTGGCATTAATGCAGCTCTTTAAAGAGCTTTTCAAACATGAAGAAACACAGCTAAGTTGGCAGATGTCTCTTTTTATCCAGGCATCTGCGTAACCAGAGCCAATATTCTGAATGCAAACTGTCAAAATGTTTGTCGGCTGCAAAGAGTTGACCACAAATTCACTCTTCATGGTCTTCAACAGCCAGTCAGATTTATAAAAACTGCTCTGCCCGGCAAACAAATATTGAAGCCTTGTTGTTGGCCATGAAAATCATTCAAAGCTTCGTGAATGACTGTAAAATCGATTTGAAATACTAGAAGACAAATCAATCCCAAGCAAACGAACTGCATCCAATGCTGCACCCACCTTCGCCGTCAACTCTAATTCGAGATATGATTTAACGTTTAATTTCGGGTCTCGCTACCGCCGTTCCTTTGGGACAAACTACAGCTAAGCGGCACGTTAAAGAGAAAGTTCTAAAAACTGAAACGCACCAGGAAACAGCCTGTTCAACAAGCAAACGGGTGGAAAAAAAGGCCCGGCACATAAGTCAAGCGGCAGTTTGAATACACTGTCAGGGCAATCAAACATTTAGCATTTTTATTGTGTTCACATAGCGGCAACCTCGTATTCATCACGCCCTGTCATTGCAATGTTTGAGTTAACCTGAACTAGCCTCACAGTCCTGAGCCACATTACATATCAGCACTCTATCACTGACAGAAGTAAATAAATTATTCACGCGAAAGCAGAGAAAGAAACCCAATGGAAAACTCCCGGGGCACAGTCACCCCCATTTGCAGTTGTGGGAAATCTGTCAGAGCAAGAGTGCCTTCCCTAGAGGGACAGCGGACAAATGACACCCACTGTCTGCATTCAATTACTACAAGAGAGGCCATGGGAGCCAAATCCTGAAGGAGACCGGGCCTCACGGAGAGGAGACTCACCCACTCACAGCCCTAAGTAGAACTGTCTGCCATAGTCAGCCTCAATTACCACTGTTCACTACTAATGTACAACATGTGAAATGAGAAGAATAATTCTTCTACTCCCATTCCAGAAAGCTGCACATGGATCAAGTTTGCATGTTTCGGCGCATACTTCCGAGAATTTTTCAGACTTTAATTGTATAATTTTAAAATCACGGCAAATCAGTGGTCTCTTTGAACTTAAGCAGTCCTGTGTTTAACAAATAACTTGTAAAGGAAAATAAACTTCTCAAAAAGCATGTCTTTTTGGTTTGCTGCACATGTGCACAATTTTATGGGAATATCCATAATCGTATTTCAAAGGAATTTTAATACAATAATCAACAGCTTTGATAAATCACGTTTTTATTTAACATTTCCCATCATGCTCTGTGTATTGTCTTCCTGCTAAAGGAAATGGGATGTATGTACTGTTACACCAGCATGTACCACATCTATAATGAAAACCTAAACCCACACACACCGCCTCATTATGTCCATTGCTTATGCAGACGACCTCAGTTTTCCTTCCATGGAAACTGGGTCTGCTTCCTGAGGCCAAAAGTCTATTTGTAATAGGCTACACTTGTCTGTACACCACTGCAGCAATGAAAGGGGTCAGGACAGGTCTGACTTGGTGTTCCCACATCTCTCAACTCCACTTGAGAGGAAAACATTAACCACTTGACCCTGCACTAGCTAGCTGGCTAATACACTGCATCATATTGTCAATTAGTAAATATAATCGCAGACAAGTCGAGTTAATTATTATTATCTGTAGCTCATCAAAGGTTTGTTGAAGCTGTGTAAGCTAAATTATGTACGGCTGTAAATCACGTTAATAACTGTTATGGGGGGAAAAATGAATGCAGTCATCTACAGATATGTGGGCTAAATTCTGAATACAGCCATTTGTTTCTTTGGTGTTTTAAGCCAAAGTCACAAACAAGGGATGGATCTGTGTCAGAGGATGTGTATGTCCACTGGATGACCTCATGAAGTCATCGTAAATGGCTTTAAAAAAAAAAACTTGGAGCATTACTGCAAAACTACAAGTCTAAACACAATTTAAAGTAAGATTACTGCTTTACCATCGGTGACCCTGCAGAAGCATAATATGAGCACCGCAGACCAAAATCTTTTTCTTTTTTATCTTTTTTTGTTTGCACAAATCAGTTGATTGTCGAACTTTCTAATGGCGGTGTTCTGCCTCGAGTGGCTATTCCAGAAACAACAGGTTATAAAACATGATTGTTCAACGCAAAGCAGAGAGATTTTATTGACATTTAGAGGGAATTTCTTTTTAATAATGATTTGACAGACCTTAAATGTGGAACATGTAAAATAAGAGTGGACTAACAACAACTGCGAAACCACTCCTGATTTAATATCGTGCTGTTTTTTTTTTTTTTTTTGCATTTCCTTTGCGTTGCAAAGTATCACATGGCAAGTTAAGATTTATTTCATCGAGCCATGGAGAGCGGTGAAAGCCAACTGCTGGTTCTCTGCTCTGCTGGATGATACTGATCCACCGGCTAAGCCCACGAAGCCATGCTCTGCAGCATGAGTGTAAGACAATAGCTTCTGTAAAGCACCTCTCGCTGTTATACTGAGAGGGAAAAGCAAGCTCCGGTTCCACACCTGTTGCCCTGGGCCATGAGAGACAAGCTATCTCCATCCTGCTCATTCTTTGCTTTCCAGTGGTCTCCGCTCTTGACGAGCTCAGCCCCATATCATAAAACTTTAGTGGCCGTGCTGATAAGGCCAGCCTATACCTGACTAAATCCAGGAGCTTAGGGGCTTTGAATTTTACCATAGCTGCATATGGGGGGTTTTCATTCGAATCAGGGAATAATTTGAGGTCGAATACAGAAAATAAGGACGGGCATTAGAGAATATTTTCAAGCTCTTTTGCTTAAGCTGGATGTTTTCAAAACAGAGAGCAACCTATTCACATCTCTTTAAGTGCTCAACTTTCTGGTCAGAGGTTTTTCCGCTTAAAGCCGATGCTGAAAATTGTCGAGCAAATGTTTCGCCGAATCGAACATTTTTCACTGATGAAAGGAGGATGTGATGCACACAGTCTCTGGAAAGACTCTAAGCTGACTGGATCCAGAGCTGGCAAGAGAAAGAAAAAAAAAAGAAACCAGGCATCTTTGTGCTTTGGATTTGATTGTAGAAATGAGCAGGGAGGAGACAGTGTCCCCCTCAGGTTCTGAGGGGGACACTGTCTCCTCCCTGCTAATGAAGTTGTCCAATTTCTTTTCTGAACAGCTTTGAAGTCGTATCATGGAACTGCTGAGGATAAGCTTTCTTAGAATCTTTCTTTTTTTTTCTTTAATAGTGTAAGATCATGATTCTATTTAAAACAAACCGCAGAGGAATAATTGAATAAAATCAGCAGCGGTTTTTAAAAAACGTACCAGTAAATAAGTATAAAATGTGTTTTTTTCTCTCTTTTAGATCCATTCTAAGAAGTCTAAATCTTGTGGTGGAGAAAAAAAGTGAAGGAGACCGAGACACTGGTTTTGGCTGCTTTTAGTGGGCCTGGCTTGCATGTGGCGGAACCATTGCCTTGGCAAAATATGTGGAAATACTGTGCACCAAACACCAATAAGGCCTTTATAACACATTGCTTCCAGGCTGGCAGGAGCTCTAACATAAGATTTGGGTTTATGACTGTTCATTTTAATTATCTTAAATTAAACCCAGAATTTGATTTAAAAATAGTCATAAAAAACGGCCTTGTTTAACTATTTATTTGAATGCACAAAAAGGACACATTTTATTCTTCTTATTGTTTTCTTTTTTTGTTTGTTTGTTTAAAAGTGAGGGAAATTTAAAGGACAAAAGAGAAAGAAAATTGGTAAACTTATTTCAATGCATCTGATGTTTTTTCTTTTTAGTTTTGAGGTTTAAGAGAAAATGATCTTGCTCATGCTGGGAGGCAGGCTGGCTCAGCGATTGATCTTTGACCTTAGAGTGAGAAACCAAAACACTGAGTAGAAGTGCAGTTTTCATGGGGGACTGAGCAAATTTACACATTAACTCCACTTATACAATTATGAAACAGAAACCCTCCACCACCACCACCACCACCACCACCACACCTTGCCTTTGTCTCTATGAATTGGCCTAAAGTGACATTTTAAAAACGGCACTGCTTAAAAAATTATTCCATTAAGATCTCATTGTTCGAGGCAGAAGGTGGTGAAATCAGAGTGGGTCACTCACGCTGTTGTCACTCGACCCCGACACAGGGTAGACCGTCCAGCCCAGCTCCGCCGTGGCCGTGGTGGAGTCCATGAGGGTCTCTGCGGAGAGAGAAAAAAAATCATAAGTCGGTGCTGTATTACAGTCATTGCAGGAAGAGGAACTTGAGATTGCCTTTTGAAATGTCAAATTCGTCTTATGCCCACCGATTCTGAAACTTTTCTTAAGAGTTAAAAGTGTGTTTTTACATTCTACGATTAAAATTGAGCAACTTTATGTTCCTCGTTCAACAGAACTAGGAGTCGGAATATTGTGGTTAATAAAAAAATGAATAAAACGCCACAAATGCATCCATGTAAGCAGAATTATGCCATCATTCCTGCGTCCCTGTTGGGAAAACAACAGGCTGGAAAAGCAAATCTCCGTGATCCATCGGAGGGGCTACCCTATACGCCGTGGATTAACTGGTGGAAAGAAACACCTCTGGTAATTGGGGTCAAAGAGAAGCTGCCTCCTGTCTGTCATGAGGCTCTCCGTGGCACAGATTCCAGCAGCCCGCTCCAACCGTCTGTCAGACGTCCACCGAGCCGTTCGCTCGGTCTTCTTTCTCTGCCTCTTTTGCTTTAATCTCTGCACCCACTCCCCCTCGTGCCCGCTCTTGCCATCCAAAACTTCCTCTCCGCTCTGCCGTGATCTCTCTGTATGTGACAGAAGGCAGGTCTAATGAATTTTCTTCTGCTGATTAGGCCCGTGTCAGTCTCGTACTGCGGCAGATGGAGAGAGCATTCATCAGGTTCAAGGCATTGACTGCGACTCCGAAAATGCCACAGAGGGATTTAGAAACCCCCCCCCCCTAGACAAACACGGGTACTAATCTTAACATAAGTCACAGCCAGTGACTGCATCATAGGTCTGCCAGACAACTGCCCGCTGTGGCTTTTCTTTTTTTCTTTTTTTTAATATGGACCGATGGAACTGCTGCTAACAGCGTGGGATGATTGCCTCTAGATCTTGGTGGAGAAGATAAACTGAGATAATATATCGAAAAGAAAATAAGGTGGTGTTTTGAGTGTCCGGGTTTGATTGAGGGGAATAAAAGATGGAAGATCCAAAGTTAGATCTCACAGGATCGTGTTATCTCTTCTGCATACCCAGAACTGTACCAGCCTGAATATTTCAGTTGTTTCATAACCCTGGATTTCGGCTGATTTCTATCCCAGAAAAAGCCACAGCTTTTAATTAAAAGGCTCCACACACACGTTGGTTTTATTTCAGGGCCTTCTGCTGACTTTCAGCATCTTACCAGAACTCACAAGACATAATACTAGATTCCACATCCCATTCAGTTATCACAAAGCCTAAATCTTATAATTAGGCAGATGAGACTGCAATTGAGCAGCTATTGATAACCTTCAATGTGACTGAGAGCTGAGCCGTCTACATGGGTGTTTGGCAGTGAAATGGTAATTACACCCCGTAATGATAACGATAATTAGTGGGGGAGTAAAGTGAAAATAATGAACCCCCTCTGCGGTGGTTAGAGAGAGTTGTGCAAATTTCAAAAAGAATGTTAAGAACGGTGACACGTCATCTTCTCCGCCAGCTTTTTCTTTGTCTTTTTCTCTCTCAGTAGCCACACAGTCCCTTTTCTTTTCCCTCCTCTTATCCACCACGCTCTGTTGTCCTTGAACCTTAGCAAAGCTTCCCCTCATACTCTCGGCCCAATTCGCTCCTTCTCATGTCCTTCTTTCTCTTCTCTCGCATAAACCTCTGATCCCTCCTTTGCCCACCTCTTTCAGGCTCGGGTCTCTCTCCCGCTATCAGTTGCCCACATGCTGGACGAGAAGTACCTCGCCGTGAATGACTGATCCGTTTTCCTCCTCCTGCTGTCTACACTTGAGTCCACGCAGATTCATTACCTCCCATGAGGCCGAGCGGCACATAGCTCACCACTGTCAGCCCCCGGCCTCATCCATAGTCTGAACAGCCGGCCATGGCGGAGCACGGATGATCAGAAATACGCGCCGGGCATTAATCAGGAAAAGGACGGAGGCACGTAGGCTTCTCGCATGAACGCGTCGCAATCCGTTATTTTTTTGTTTCCTCTTGTGGGGAGTCATTTTTAAATTTGGCCACTCGAAGTAGTGGAAAAGTTACCCCTCGTCCAGATATAAATCTCTATGTGTTTGTGGGACTGATAAATCAGCACATGGCACTGTGGATGAAGATGTGAGGACCACCAAGACAGTTGTGTTCACAAAAAACTGTATGTGGTGCCACTTTGATGAGTCTGTAATATGATTAGGTTGAATCATTTACAGATATTGAACAAATCTCAGAATGGCATTATTAAACAACATAAAAAAGGGAAAAGTAAGCCCTGAATTACGGTAACATTAAATTTCTATCGCACCAAGCTGATATTTAGCTCTATGGGTTGAGTGGGGGCTGATGTACGGGGAGTTGGGCTCGGATTTGAGTCCAGCAAGGCCATTTCACGCACCATATTTCTCCCCTCTTTCATTTCAAACCGCTAGAGCCAGAAAAAAGTATCAGATGTACCGCGACTGGCATTGAAATCAGCAAAAGAACGAGGCATTTTGATTTGAACAGATGTGTCCTGGTGAGGGTCTTTTAATAAAATGATGATCTTTGCTGTGAATCTCTCTGATTATTTCCTTTGATGGTACCTGAAGGTAGACGCAAAGCATAAAACTCCGTGTCCTCAAAGGTCCTTGTCTTTTGTACAATTTTTCAAATTAAACGACATATGTATGGCTAATGCTGGCTTAGTGTTAAAAGCTTTAGAAAGGTGCAGCTTTGTCATTAGAGCTAACACATCTACTTTTGAAAAAAAAAACAGACTATAGTGATGTTAAAGAAAGTGTTTGTGTTCAATATTAAAAATTGTAAACAAAGCATTTATATTCTCAGCTCTTATTTTGGCTCATCTATCAATTTGTGCACTTATTTGTAAATAAAACGAGAAAAAAATAGGGGAGGGAAAACATATATTGTATACTTGATTACTCACTGCAAATTCTCCTTATTCCAAAACATGCATATGTTTTCCATGAAATCCAAAAACTTTTAAAACAATGACATTCTTGTTATCCTCTCTAAGTAATAGAAAAAAATCTGGAGCCTAATATGCTCTAACTCAGTTTGTTGCGTGATGGATTTGTTCAACACCACAATGTGTTACTCAGAAGGCCCAGAAGCACGCATTCATCGGCCTAACGTCTGATGACAAATTGCAGCCTCTCCATTTCCCACTTAAGCGGTAAGTGTCTTTGCATTATTTGTGCAGCAGTGAAGTGATGCATAAGTGTTTCAACTGTTCCAGCTCCTGGGAAAACAGTCTCTAAACCAGCAGTCAAAGATGGCATCAACACTTCACCGACTACAAAAGAAGTTCTCTCAATTATGAAACATTAATGAGCAAAGTTAGTGTTTATTATGCAGAGAATATCAACAATATGACGGTAAATCATTTAAAAGTTCTTTTTTCGTACGTGATACCTTTGACACTGGAGATGGCTATGAATATGCAATCAGTCCTAAGAAAAGCCTACTATAAAGAGAGTGCTTCCTCCAACACTTCCTAAGAGTCAGAGGAGTTTAGTGCTGATCTTAGAGAGAGCTCTCAAGTGAGAGGCTGTCTGAAGTGACAGGAGAGGGGAGTGGAAAGGAGGGGGCGCAGCACTATAACAACGCTTTTCTTCTCTGAGAAGGGTCAATGCTTCATCCCTGCTATCTAGAGAAAGAATCTGAATTTTTTCTTTGGGAGACAGAGAGATGAGCTGTTTGAAGAAAAAGATGTTCCAGTGCAAACAATCAGAAAAATAAACAGCGGGCCTGCCACCACCGGACATAAGACTGCAATCTATCTGTTAGCCCCTGCAAAAAGCGCCGCTGATATTAACCAGCTCTTTATTCTGCATGGAACGTCATATACTGTGTGTAAAAAAAAAACGTTCACTTCCTGTCCGTAGAGAAGGATTTCTTTTTCCTGTCAACCCATTTCGAAACATTAGCTGTCAGTTTACAATGGACCGACAATTCATGATTTGGCCAAAGGGCATACATCAGTGTTTGACAGCAGGATGACCAATTAGGTGGAAGAGACAGACGGATTTCTGGAGTCTGAGTGATGGATGTCTCTACTGCCATGAATCATCTCTAAGCACAAGTCAGGAGCTTTTTTTTTTTTTCCACACGTTTGAGTTACAAGTGAAAAAAACTGTGGGGTGCACACGTATGTTCAACCACATATTGAGAACTGTGTGGCTTGGCTTTGTCTTTTCAGCATGAGGGGCTTTGCATGAAAACTTCAACATGATGGCCCGGGCAAAAATAAAACAGACTTAAACCAATTTTCAAACAAACTACCTTATATCTACGTCCTTCTGATAAACAAGGGGTACTTGAGAAAGTGATTGACCTCCGAAACAGTGTGAAGCAGCGTAGAGGTATTACTTATTTTTCCTCTCTTTTCAGCGAAAATTGTAGCCTCTGCGCAGTATAGAATAATTACCCCGGTGTTCAATCTAAAATTGATATAAACCCCATATGGTCCTTTCTGTTGCTGTGATAATGTCTGCTATTAGAGCTGAAAGCTGCACCAAACAGTCTGCCCAGAAAATCCCTGTCCACTGAAGTCCACTATTGATGGAAGAATGTGCATTAACTTGCATATGACTGAACACCTGAAACCACAGTATTTGATTGCTAATGTGGCAAGTATGTAGCATATGCTACAGCTGCAGAGCAACACAAGCAAGCGGGTTAGGGTTAGGGTTCTTAAAACGGTATCCTATATTGTAGACCAAGCATGGAAATCTATCCAGATTAAGAGCAAAGGCAATAATATACTCCTGAAGAAGCCAGAGATGTGATTTATGGCTTTAATGATGGACAGTGCTACTGTATAGCTTATTGGAAATAATAATAGTCGGCTTCATTTAGAGGGAAGAAGTGGATGGAGCCCCTGGTCCTGAGAAAATCAGCTCAACTTATCTGTCAGCACAAGCTGGGCTCATTAAGGTGCTGTAAAGCTCCCACTACTGTAGAACAGCTTATCCCTATATGTTAAATGAATTCTTAATATTTTATTATACCATGGGACAGGCTTTGAGGACATTGAGGTATTTCCCAAAGTTTCGATTTTTCAGTGTCAAAAGAGGGTTTATTTGCAGCCCTCCGCAAGATAGATAAACATGGCATGAAGGTTACTATTGGGATGAAAATGTGTGTTCCAGGGATAGGTGAGATGGGGCTCAAAGTTCAGCCTCACCTCATTAAGTGCCGAGTTTTCCAAAGCGAAGAGAGATGAGCTAGGAAGCTGGTCAGTTGATTTTGGCAGAGTACAGTGAGTGTGAAATATAGTACTACACACACAAACACAGAAAGTGGAGCACTCTCAGAGCGCCGACTGTTGACAGAATGATACAGCATGGTGTTCCCAGGGGCCTCCAGCAGGATGTACAACAGTAATCCTTACACGGCCAGGCTGTGTTATCAGTCACTGTGACTGAAGTTGTCAGCTAGACCAGTGGGCAACAGCCAAAAACAAATCATAGAGATGCACAATTTCTGTAATATATGCCTAAGACACTGTGAGGTATTCCAACAGGACAGTAACTCTAGTCTCAGTTTTCTTTGATTTCCGTTTTTTTTTATTCTGATTAAATACAGTGTAACCTTATTTGTAGTCCAGTTGTTGAGTCTTCCATCATAAACTGTCCCTGTTTGCTGGTCTGAAGTCAAAAGCAGCTTGTAAATCTTATACTTAATAAGCTTGATAAGCGTTATAGGATACTTTGGTAATTTCCAAATATCAAATGACAAAATAACTAACTTAACAGAAGAAAGAAAGGATACATTTCTCTAAAATATTATCAGCCAACATGTAAAAAGATCAATTGTTGCTTGATCAGTCCGTTCTCAATGCAGATCCTAAGATCAGAGACATCGAACTAGAATCTCCATCCACATCCCTGATACTGCGTTTTGCTTATTGCTAAACCACTATTTCATTTTACCTCCCACCACAGTACTGACAATAACATTACTTCCCAGCATTTCTTCCTTATGTCTGGGATGAGTTTCTGCCATAAAATTCTGGAACAAACAGTGAAATAATTCACTTTCAACTTCTAATATAAAAAAAATTACTTGATTTACATTTCAACAGTATTTTGGAAAATTGGTATTGTACGTACTGGTCGACATGGTTTATGTTCAGAAGGAAATCTTTTAATTATAGGACATGGAAAAATATCCATGGCTGCCTGTGGGTTCAGTCCAGCCCAAAAGTGTCTTAGTGCATTAAGTTGAAAGTAAAGTTTTTTTTCCAAACATACATCCAGGTATGTTTTTAATATTAGTGATCTCATTAGTTTACATTCACCATTAAAAAGCTTTAGGTCTAAGTGACACCATATTTCATGGCAGAGAAACATCAATCTGAGCAATAAATCGTGAGCTGGAACGGTCACCTGGCCAGTCCTCTGCCCTGTGAAAAAGACCTGGCTGCTCACGCAGGCTTCAGAACGCGTAAGCACACTTTCCATATTTCCCAAATCCCTAACAAACTGAAAGGAACTGTTTAACAGATCAGTAGATTTCAAATTTTGCAGTGGAAAAATTCTGTAAAAGCGGGTCCCACGTTTTTATAAGCGGGAGCTGAAGAGAACAAAAGTATGACTCAAAAAGGAGACCGTACAAGTGACATTCATCTATCCATCCAATCATTGTAAGTGTTTTATGACCACTCTGATGAGAATCTAGTGCATGAGAGCCCTGGAAGTACCTGTGGCAAAGCTGGACAGAGATACACAAATCACTTTTCAACACGGTGACAGCTTTTCAGATGCCACTGCTAATTGACTCGATGGAAATCACAGACCTCCCACGCCTTGGCTACCAGCCATTAGTCAAAAGTGGATGGTTGCAAAAAAAAATGCACAGAGTTCACGGAAGAACATAAAGAAATTCAGTATTTTTTCAAATATATATGGCCTCTTTCATCAAATTAAGACTTGTGCACTCTCTGTCTCTGTGTCCCCCTTTTTATCTGTGCTCCTTAAGGCCTTGCAGGAGCAGTACGGCCGCAATATTCTTGTGTTAGTGCAAAAGATAAGACATTCCCCCCCAGCTTCAAATGTGCTCAATTGAAACTTTGGGTGCAAAGGACTAATTTCTCCCCCTTAATTTGTCCTACATAAAAATGTCTCCAATAGTCAAGGGAGCAGCCATCTCCATGCCAACCAAGCTGACAGGCATCTGAGAGCTAGTAAACGGAAGTATGAAAGGCCTAATGTAGGTGACTGCATGAAGATTTGGAAGAGACCGTAAAACCTGGAGTTGAAAGTGTAACGGCACGCGTGTGTGTGCCTTTGTTTGTAAATCTATGTAAATGGTAGGGTACCTGTTTTTATTGAGATGGCCTGTCCTTGTTTAGCTGATAAAAGGACTCCACCACAGATTATGAGCTAAGTGAAGTCATTAAAGTCTGAGAAACAAATCTAGTTTATGGCCTATTCTACATCCTTTTAAAGACTCTTTCATCCTCTAAAAGATGCTTTAAAAGCTGCTGTAAATTCCTGTGTGGAGGCTCTGGGTCCTTATCACGTGAAGTGTGGTGATAAGCTTCAACCTTTAAGGTTCAGAGCTGTATTTTTGACGGAGACCAATAAACATCACACATCAATGCATCCATCAGTGTGTAACACTAGTATAATGAATGCAGATGCATGTTTTTTCAAGATAAATCTTCAATCATATTTTGTTCTAATCATATTCCTGATTAAAATATAATGGCTGGGTGAAGATTCAGAGATTCAGAAAGAGAAGATGCTGAAACCTTTGATCAAACCTGTAATATGACAAAGGTAAGTCTTTTATTCATGAAGCCGCCAACGTTTCAAAATGCAATAAACTAATAAAATATAGAAATGGGACAACAGAATGGAAAGATATTTAAAACACAAAGGAAAAAAGATGTTATGAGACCTCATAGTGATGTCCCAGAACTGTCCACTTTAATTTAATTCATATTATGCTATTTATGGATGGCTACGACTTCCCGTAAATAGCTTCAAGATCTTTCTCATATTCAGAAATATGATGCTTTATTTCAATGATTAAAAAACAAAGAAGTTCAATAAAGGGATATCAACATGAGCTTTGCATCCTCTACAGTTATATTAGAATAATCCGAAAGCTTTGTTATCAATATATGTTACACATGGGATTTTGGATGCTAAACCCTCTGTTCTTTTTATCTGTGATATCAAAACAATACCCTGAAGAGCTCATTTTAAGGCCTCCTCACATAAAACAGACATACAGATAATTTTCAGAACATTTTAAAACTTTTAAATCACCTGGCTCTGTTACATCTACCATATCAAGTCATTTAAAGCTTAAATGTATTTTCTACCTTAAACATATCGTGACAGGTCGTTGGTTTACCAGCATCCCGCTGCAGCACGATAACTAAAGACCTCAGCAGAGCTTGGCAAATTAGCTGTGCGTGTCATCATACATCAAACAAATCTTTAAAGACCACCTTACATCCCATGTTGCCCTTTTTTGGTGCACGTTTGGTTTCTGGGTCAAGTACTCGGGGAAGGCGAAATATGATCCTCGTTCTCAGACGTACTTGTGTTTAATGGTAAATCTTCCTCATCTGGGGCTGTAAATGTTTCACGAAGACTAAATAAATGAACAGTTTTCCCTCACGGCAAAACTGCCTGTTTGGATGTAGATTTTCTTCTGTTCTATGAAGATTTTCTTTCTCCAATATTTTGCACCAAAGTTAGGACTTTTCAGGCACTTAAATCGTTGTAGATTTTTTTTTTTTTGTAACTAGTCAAAAAGAATAAAAAAAAACCTTCATTGACTTCATAACTGTGCATTCTGTTTCTATTTGCACGGAAATACAATGAAAGCTGTCATAAATCCTGATTTATACTCGGGCCCACGTATAATTAAAGATGACTCTCATGTCCTCATGTTTTAATTAAGTGGGATTTCAAAATCATAATGCTTCAGGTTTGTGTCTTTTAATATGTCCTTTGACAGCTCCTGTGCTGCCTGCTGCTGAGTGAACAATGGCTCTGACTGAGAGGGAATGACCTACTGGGCAACTCATTCACTAAATTTCCATGTTATAACATCTCACCATATAGGTGCCCTTCAATTATTATTAAACAATGCAAAGTACCGTATACAGATTTTTTTTTCTAATTATCCTCTTCTAAAAATGGGCCTGAGGTCCTTGTTCATGAAATTAAATTAAAAGTATAAGGCTTTCTTGTTTAATGCCTGCATTAGTTCAGCTGGCACAGTCACATTAATACCTTTGTTGCAGACTTTTAGCTGTATTTTTATATTTCTTAAGTCTAATGAATTGTAAAGGTTAGCGGCCTATTCAAAGTACCTCATAGTTGCAGCCTGAACATTTAAAAATAACATTTACCAGACATTCCCTCTTAAAATAGCTGTACTGTTTCGTTTTGGTTTCATGTCAAATTATATTTGATGGTGCGCATTAAATCAAAAGTTGACATTTTTACTCAAATTCAACACATGTACAAACACACCTTTGCACCTTAAAAAACGAACTGAGATTTTGACATGCCATTTATCATCTGAGTTAAACATGCCCTGGAATGCATCTGTAAACAACAGAAATATTTTTTGTGATAATATTGATCTGGTTTTGATTGGCAGGGCCTCCACAAATAAATCAAATGAGGTAAGACAATTAACCGACACCTATAACTGCACGATTCATTCAACCCCCTTATACCTTCGAGCCTCCTCCTCTTATCCTGATGACGACTTATCTGTTCAGCTTCCAGGTACAACATTCTGTGCCTGTGTGTCGAGGGGGAGGGATTTGAACAGCGTTATTGATGTGTGAGAGGTCAGGTTGGGGGAGTTGATCTCCTGCCAGTCAATACAACCTGCTTGCCAACAAGTCATCAGATCAGAGTAGCTCCTCTGTCTGGGCAGATGCCGCAGCCTCCCATCACATACACGAACACACAGGCCCGACGCTAGCTCATCTAGGACATGACATACTTGGCAAATTTATTTTCCTCACTTATTTGTTGTTTTATGCTCGGTGAAGGATAATATTTCAGGCACCGGGGCCTTAAATAATGTGAGTGCTGGGAAAAATTACGAGCTATAGGCGGGGACGACGGTGCGTGAGCAACCAGCAATAAAAATGTGCCGTTAAGGATTACATCATATACCTATCAACAGAAAGAGGGAGGGGAGATGTAAGGTTATAATAACGTCTATTAATGGATATCTCTATTTGTGTTTTACTATGTCTGCAGTGAGGTAGAAAATCAAGAGGATTAATTCCCAGTGTCCCACAGACGCTCTGTGCTGGACTCCTGCTTCTCCAGTGGCCTCCCCCCTTTTTCTGTTTTTGTCAGTTCACCTCCTCCCCACTTTACTGGAAGCCTTAAGTATTACTCTAACTTAAGTAAGTATCCTCCCTTCCACCACTCGATATCCTTTTATTGTATCCACAGTAAACACATTTTTACTTGTCATACTCTACATGCTGTGCTCCAAAGAGGCACTGTTCCCCCAAACCGCCGTGACTGTTTAACCATCAGCACCCCATCTGCTTTCCCTGATGGGGACCACACATTTCACGGAAAAGAAAAGCCAGGGGATCACACGGGAGGTAAGGCATCTCGGCGGATTCCAGGCGTGTGAGCTAGCTCCTATCCCACTTCGGCTTCCGAAGAGTTATGGTGGGGTCACGACCCCCTGAAGGTCTATAAAGCAGAAAGAAGAGGGACAGTGGAAGGCAGTGCCTCGAGTAATGTGTTCCTGCCTGCCTGCTCCACTTGTGGAATCGGTGTTACATCCAATCGCGCACACACACGCAACAACAACATACTTCAGAATAACCCAAATATCACTTTACACTACACGGGAGAGGCGCCCCGAACACCCCAGCAATCAACATCCCCTTAATCAAAGATTGCACAGCACACTGGAAACTGTGTTGAACCGCCATTAAGGCACTTTACAGGCTTAGTGCAAGTAAAAACTAACATACACTGGGAGATATTGGATACCAGCACCACTGGCACAAACACGGAGCTAATGGTTTCACGGTGGCCAGCTGTGACAGAAGGCATGAAAAGCAAAGATTGGAGACAGAGGAGAAAAATGAGATGACACTGCCCTTTGTCTATTTTTTTCTTATTTTTTCTTCTCTTTTTTTCAGTTTAAATGGCTTTTAAATCACCAAACAAATACCCAAATGTCCACTTTAAAAACATGGACTGTGATTCAGAGCATGTTCAGTCCGATTTGTAGCGATTGGTACGATTGTTTCACCAAACATGAGAAATTCATCCAAAGTGCCGTTGATGCTTTCTGCAACATGGTCAGCTGTGTCACTTCCTCTCAGTTCTTCAGCACACAGGACAAAACTGTCAACTTCCCATGTGTCTGAAGAGCAGTGAGCCGCGACAGTCGCGTAAGCATGCGTGGCCAGCGATGTCCATCTGTGGCTAGTACAAGTGTCCCCTTCTTTCCTAACGTCTTTCTCTTTTATTTCGGTGTTCCAAAGTTGAACAATGTATGAGCAACTTAACATTTTAGATTTTAGTTCTAGTTCAATCATCACGCCCAAAGACCCCCGCCCTCAAAACAATAACAATGAGTCATATGTCTTTGCATTAGAATGTTATATCTGTAGCAATTTTACAAGTGCCAGGTAAAAATTGGTGGTAGTTGATGATGCTGAACTGGGTTCCTTTACAATGTCAGTACAGTGGCTCAAGAGGAAAGACACACATTTGCGTCCTTTTAAATAGGGATCCTCGTGTTTATCGTGGCTACTTTGCACATTCTGTGTTTGTCTGGAGTATTGTTTGTGCACATTCTTTTGCAAGCTGCAGTATCTAAGTGAGCATTTTGGAAAGCATGAAGCCAAATTGACATTGTTGAAGAGTCACAGGGGAGGCAGCATAAAAAGGGGGAGTTTTGAAGACAAGTAGCTGTGAAAAAAGTCCATTACTACATGCATCTTTGCCACTGCACAGTGACAAGCATTCACGTCAAAGCAGCTGGCAACAGTTTGCTTCCATTTTGGATACGCATTGTGGAAAATGTTGGAGGGACAAAGTGGGGATGTTTGAGTTTTTGTTCTTGTCAGAGTCATTTGGCATGCCCCCTACAGAAATCATCCAGTGGCATACACCAACAATGTGAATATGCAAAAAGCAAGAATGATCCTGAGCTAAGAAAGCTTCTTTTTGAAAAATCGATGATCACTATACTATCACTGGGTAAAGATTGTCCTTTTTGTTCACAATTTTCCTTCATTTTAATGGCAACTTAACAAATATATCATCCTATTTGTCTGACCAGTTAAAAAGGCATGCATTAAGCCCTGGTGATATTAGAGCGACCTCGCTGGACAACAAGTGAAACAACATCTTAATGTCAGATGTGAGCAGAAGAATGTTAAAAAAGGAGCTGTCCTGTTACTGAGTTATTCTTTTTTTTAACCAAGTATTAAAACTGTTTGATTTATGTGCAGGGCCAACACTGACAAAAACTAGGTTATTGGCATTTAAAATATGTTTACAGTAACTGCCATAACAAGTTTCCTTAATCTGTTGTGTCAAGAACAATAGACCAAATATTTTGCTTATCAGGCCTTTTTTTCCATAGAAACTCAGATACAGATTTGCATTGAAACCAGCAAGTAAAGAAAGAGTGTCAGGCCTAAATTATGCCCATAAATGTTTAGTAGTGCTCCACAGAATGTAGTCTTTTTTTGCTCTAAAAAAAAGCCAGTTCTCCCTCTGTTTGTTCTGTCGCCATTACGGCCACTTAGTCTGACAAAGTACTCCGTTCCCTTTATCTTCCCAACAGCTAAAACTCAGAAGTGTTTCACGCGTCTGTTCAACCTTGGATTTAGCTCGTATCGCCCTGTTTACTCGTGACAGAGATGAAAGACAGATTGCTTTTGAGGGAGCGGTGGGAAAAAAAAAAGGAGCAGCAAATGAGTGTCTGTGAAGGACTTCATGGTTTCATTCCACCGGGGGAAAAGACCAGAGGCATATGTCACCGACAAAGGCTGCATCTGACAGGTGAGCACAGGGGAGAGACATCCAAACAAAGTCTGCGGAGAGTGATAGCAACAGATAATGTTGCCCAGAGGGAGGACGGGGAATATATGCTTTGGCCTGAAGTCAAGAGGCAAAAGCCGTATCAACACACCCAAGCAACTTTTGGAACTGTGAAAACTGGTAAGTGTCGTACTACAGCATGGAAGGCAAGATGTTGATAACAGTGAACGATGACCCCATTCCCTTTGGCCATGAAAACTGACCCGTAGAAACAGGAGAGAAGTGATAGAGGAAGAAAAAAGAGTTTGCAAACACCTTCAGAACACATGCGCGAGTTGTCTCACCATTCTGGCATTCAAACCTTTGCAACACAAAAGGATAGTTTGAATTAATTCTTTAAACTTCTGTAAAATTAAAAACCGCAATAGTAAAATCTCATGGGTTTCTTCTTTTTGGTCTTTGCTGTAATGTTCAAATAAAAATGGATATTCAAAGTCCTTATGTAGTGGCTCTTTCCCTAAAGCATGTGCAGTTTTTAGTCCACATTTTATTAGCATTATAAAGCACCTGAATTAATTTAATTTACCACCTAAATTATCGCACATCTTGCTCCACCAAAATTTTCTCCACAAAATTAGAAACAAAAAAGTTTCAAAGTTAAAAGTATGTCTGCATCAAATTATGAGTTTCACATGTTGTGTGTGCATGATGTTTGTTTGTTTGCACGACAGAAATTTTTTCATCATCACCACGATCAGTGAAAACTGGAACTACGGCTCCATGGAGACATTTAGTTTCACATGCAATTCGTGCTTTTGTTGTCACGCATCGTTTTTCGCTGTTTGATCGGCTCCTACAGATTATAAAACGAGAAAGGCATCAACAGGTGGCAAAGAGGAATGAAAAAAAAACGAAACAATGAATCTGCCAAGAGAATCTTCACAAAGATTAGACACAGATATGGGGAAAAAAGAGGGACTAAATGATATATATCTACATAAACATCTATCCATACACACACACACACACATACATATATATATGAACCGTAAAGTGAAGGAACAGTCCAGCTGAAACACAGAGGGACTGATTCACAAGCCTGATGAGCGGTTGGCATGCAAATCAAGCCTGTATGGGGTTACAGGCAGGGTGAGAAGCGGGTGCATGAAGGGGTTTCACAGGCAGTCATTTGCCAGCATTCAGCTCCCATCAATATCAGGACCGATTAATGAGGGGCTGTGGGGGACAACAGGGAGGAGTGCGGGGGGGGGGGGGGGGGGGGGGGGG